TCAGCAGTGCAACTCTTCACCCGAACTCGAAAGATTATCTGAGTATTTCCCAGAAGCTTTTATCGGGCACGGCCGCACGGTACAGTGTATTCTGGATGGCTCAGCTTCTTACCCACTTGATGAAATGCCATCCGGGAAACGAGTTCTATGCGATCCTCGGCTATATATTGCGGGTTTTCCGAAACATACATCTGCTTCTTATAAGGGTTTAGGGTATAGGGTTTAGACCCTATAGCTCGAATTGCAACGGAGAGCATGCAAATCCAAGGCTCCGAGGTGGGGTCTGTATAGCCCTTGCTACCATGGAAAGCATCTTCCTTCGATCTGGCAGAATTCTTACAGAGGATGCGGACCGCGACCTTCGAAGAGCTTACATTATTTACAGATCTGGCTATAACAAGCTAGCTGAATGGGCTCTTTCGACATCACTCTGTAGATGGCCCCTGCGGCCCAAGAATCATTACGTCGAGCACCTCGTGCTCGACACATCTCCGCAGAACGGGAGGTACATGCACAACTATCCTCAAGAAGACCACATCAGAAGGATTAAACACCTGGCTTCGAAAAGTCACCCTGCTTTCCTGGCGAAACACGTAATGCTTAAATGGGCGATGCAAAGGACCATGAGCTGGGCGGACCTCGCGGAGTAGAAAAAAATCAGTCCGATCGAGGGGTGGAAGCCCCAGCTGCAGCCGAAACACCCTAAAACCCTTGACCCTAAACCGTGACGGTAGTAACAGCAGCAACGAGACCTTCTCAAGCCGTGCCTCCCTGTAGAGCGAGTGTGCGAGTCGAAACCCTTTAAAACACGAACAGCTCGAAGCCCGAGAAACCGGTGTCGTCGTCGTCGTCGTTGGTGTGTTTGTGTGTGTGTGTGTGTTAACACTATATATATATGTGTATATATATATATATATATATACACATTGCATATATGTGCGGCATGGCCATGTTTCATGTTTCATTTTTTTTGGCTCCTGGTTTGCCTGCATGGGCACTTTCGAGATCGCTCTGTCGCTCTTGAACCACTATGTGGTGGGTTCTGGACACATCCCGCTGGGGAATATCATTGGTAGCGGAAATTCTCAACAGAGACTGATACAGGTGCTGCATTTTCGAACTGATATATGCATGCCCCGCAACAAGTGTGGACCCGGTTCCACCAGTTTTCTGTTGTTTTGCGATCCGGATGGAAACTTTTCATGCGGATGTAAACAGCTTTCAGAGAATTCCGGCACTGATCCCACTGAAGGTCAAAATTTTCATGGCATCATACTCAGGTAAAAATGGACCAAATAAGATACGTTGGGCTCAATGACTCTTGTTTGCTGAATGCCTTTTAATTAGGATACGTTGGGCCCGTGCTGGCAGCCCCTTCGTCTACGGCTACTTCGTGCGATCCTCGAGGCGGCAGGCGATCCGGATAGGGACTTCCTCCGTCGGGCCGAGGAGGGACTCCCACTTGGGATATTGGAGGGGCTACCCAGAACACCGCACGTGTTCGAGGAGCAATCCTCCTGGAGGCTAGACAACGCCCCTTGGGAGCCGGCGCTAGCATGGGTCCCGAATTATTCCTCGGTTAGCGACCACAGGGATTTTGTGCGGGCTAAGTTCGACGAGGACGTCGAGGAAGGCCTCATGGAGAGGATGACCCTCGGCGAGTTCAAGGCGAGGTTCGGCGAGGACCGGGCTATCGCCTCCCTAGCCGTGATAGTCGAGGACGAGGAGAAGGACAAGAAGCGGATAATCCACGACGCGACCCACGGCGTCCGGGTGAACCACCGGATACGCTGCCGGGATAAGATCCGGGCGCCAGGGGCTAGAGAAAAGAAGCAAATCCTCCGAGAGCTGATACGCTGTGGCGAGATTGCCTTTTCGGTCGTGGGGGATATCTCGAAGGCCCATCGGAGATACAAACACCAGGCTAGCGAGCACGGCTTCATGGGCTGCCAGATAGACACCGAGGAGACGATCCCCGGGGACCCGGATAGCCAGATCGTCTACGTCAACAAGGTGGGCACGTTCGGACTCTCGCCGGCTAGCTACTGGTGGACCCGGATAGCCGCATGTGGGCTACGGGCAACCCATCATCTGTTGGGCCCTGGCTGTCCCATCGACCTCCTTCTATATGCCGATGACCTCGAGGCCCTGGGGATAGGAACGGAGGGGAGGAAGGGTATCCCGTTGAGCTACCTTTTCCTCTCTGTTCTGGGATATCCCTTCAAATGGGCGAAGACTCGGGGTGGCTATAGGGTGGAGTGGCTGGGAATGGAGACGGAGTACTCCTCCTACAGGCTAGGGATGTCCAAGAAGCGGGCGTCCTGGCTATCGGCTTGGCTAAACGACAAGGTGACCTTCGGCAAAGTCACGGCCAAGGAGATGCAGCAGGGGCTAGGTCGGCTAGGCTTCGCTGCGATAGCCTTAGATTGGCAGAGGCCCTTCTTGGGGCCGCTCCACGCGTGGAGCGCAGCCATTCAAGGGAAGTCCGGCTACCTCATCATCCCGACGATGCTCCGGGTGCTGATGCGGTGGCTAGCCGACAAGCTTGACCAGGGGGAGAGGCTACAACGTCCCGTGACCCTCTACGCCGGGCTACCTCCACTGAGCTTTTTCACGGATGCTAAAGCTGAGTCCGATAGGGCCTGGATAGGTGGCTTCCTGGAGATTTCCGGAGGGAAGCCAGGTCCCTGGTTTTCCTTAGAAGTGGATAGGGCCTGGGCTCCGTGGGCCTTTGCTAAAGGCGACCCCAAGAAAGTGATAGCTGCGCTAGAACTGCTAGCGACCCTCGTGGGGATACGTCTCTGGGTCCCCGAGGGCGAGGATAGGAAGACCTCGCGAGTGGCCATCCGCGGCTATACGGATAACAAGTCCAATGAGGCACTTGTGAAGAAGGCCATGACGACCAAGTATCCTTCCATGCTAGTTTTAATGGAGATAGCAGAAGAGCTATCCCAGAAAAACTGTGAGCTACAGCTCCAGTGGATACGGAGAGACATCAACCAGCTAGCGGATGACCTCACGAACGAGGAGTTCAAGGAATTCGATCCCTCTCAGAGGATAGATCTGAAAGGAGAGGAATTCCAGTGGCGTGTTCTGGGCCGGCTACTCGCGCATGCAGATAGCTTCTACCAGGAGCTAGGCACGCGAAAGCGAGGGACCCCGGATAGGGTGTCCAAGTTTAGCCGTAAGGCCAGAAAGCTAGATCCCTGGTAGCCTGAGTGGCGATGCGTGGGGATAGATAGCCGAAGGCTATCAGTTATCTCCAGGCAACCTGGGATAGTTGCCACTCCAGACAAAAGAACGTCCGTGCTAGCTGTGTTGCTTGTTCGTCTGGTCGTCGCTCGGCTAGCTCGCTAGCTATCTACTTTTGTACTACTATCGTCCTGGTGGAGATCCGGGGATGGTGGTGGGATATAGGAGCTAGTGCACGTACCTCGTGACGAGGAACGAGTTACGACTATGTGTGCTAGCTAACCTATTACTACTCGAAGCTATCGAAGGTAGCTTCGCTAGAAACGAAGTTTCGTTCGCTATCGTCGCTCGCAGGAGAGTTGCCTCTGACATGCGAAGACAGGATAGCTGTGACTTGGAATGGCTACGAAGGTGTGTGACCGTTGCCATTCTGGATAAAGTCCCCCATCAGGGGGGGTAATTTTGAAGTACCCACCCTGCCCACCCTGGGGATAGATAGCCGAAGGCTATCAGTTATCTCCAGGCAACCTGGGATAGTTGCCACTCCAGACAAAAGAACGTCCGTGCTAGCTGTGTTGCTTGTTCGTCTGGTCGTCGCTCGGCTAGCTCGCTAGCTATCTACTTTTGTACTACTATCGTCCTGGTGGAGATCCGGGGATGGTGGTGGGATATAGGAGCTAGTGCACATATATATATATATATAATATATATATATATATATATATATATATATATATATGTATATATATATATATAACCGAGTTATGCAGTTCTGCATATTAGGATGCTAAGCAGCGGCGTGATACCGTGGGGATTGTCGCTCAATTCCGGCTTGTATTGTTGCACATATATATATATATATATATATATATACATATATATATATATATATATATATATATATTAAATCGAGGAGTTGGACTTGGGAGTGTGGGGCTTTTGATTTAGCTAGATCGTTGTCGGAGGGTGTCAGTCCACTGTATCGAGCAATGCGGTCTAACTTCACATCGGGTCAATGGTGGTTACTCTCTACATGCCTGCACTCCTGCATTGGGCCCCTGTAACCCTATATAACACTCGGCTCTCTTATAGCACTAGTATTCACAACATTATGAAACAGTACACTAGCTATGCTCAGGGACTATGGCTCGGAGTTTCCTTGGACTACTAGACGAGCTGCAGCTGAGGAAACGAGGGTACGTACCCAGTTGGGGGAGCCGACAATCTCTGGATTATCAAAAGGTGGGCCGACAATTGGCTGCAATGCTCAGAAAGCTTTTGTGGTCGTTCGTAGAGCCTTAACCCTATAGACCCTAAACCCAAGAACAAAACACAACAAGCAGTACAGGGTTGAGGGGCTCCGGGTGCCAGGGCATAGGGTTTGGGACTGCGTTTAGGGGTTCATAGGTGCAAGGTGCAGCACGGAGGGAATGCAAGACTTGAAGCACCGGGTATATATTCAGTCTTCATTTGACAACCCGGTAAGTCCAGATGATCTGTAGACCCCTAGTTTACCCAGAAGTCCGCGCAAAGGATCCAGGCACCAGAAGCCCACGCGGTATGGCCGCGTCCATCCCGGCCCCAGCAGACACGTGCCTGCAAGGATCGTTGGGGAAATTAAGGGATACACGTGGGTGGACTATGGTGTTTAGTGTAGGGTTTGCTAGAACATCTGATGATTCTAGATATTAGGAATTGTCTGGATCGGATGTTTATAGGAATTGTCTCGATCGGGATTACTGTCTATTGGAATGGGGCTTAGAAAGATCGCCATTGAAAAGCTATATACCATTGCACCTGAGTTGCCTTTAATCTGTTTCGGCATCTGAGCTTTGCTTGGGTGCCTTGCCGATCCGCCGACGGGCCTCTCGCATCCCTTCGTTGATAGGCTTTAGATCCTCCTCGAGGAGGCTGATTGCAGACATCTTGTCTTCCAAGCTGCTCGCAGGATGAATCTTCTTATCCCACTCGCCCGGCATCACTTTCACATCATCCACATACTTCGTCAAAACCTGCCGGAGCTCCTCCGAGTAGGGCACAGCTCTCAGGTCCTCGACCAAACTCATCAGCTTCTTCTCTGCAGTGACGAGCCTCGACTCCCAAACCCGGCCCATCATCCCAAACACTAAACCCTGCAACTTAGATCCTGGACCCCTAGAAAATTGAACTACCCTATGCATATATATATATATATATATACCCAGACCTACCAAAATCCCTTAATTAAGGAATATATACCTTAATTCATATTTGGGATCCTATTACAAATTGAAGTGTATTCCTTAATTAAGGGCTTTTGGAAGGTCTGGGTATATATATGCATTTTAAATAATGCCTGGTATTGAATAGTGGCCAGAGCACCCTTTGAAGATCTTCTGCAGTTTCTTGTCAGCTTGCTCTTCCGGGGTCAAGACCTGGGGCTTCGAGGGTTCAGGCTTGCGACAGTCACAGGTTAGTGTTTGTGGCCATGGGATCCGACTTGAAAGGATGTAGGTCTTGAGCTTTCCATAAAATGCAAATCAAGTTACCTTGGCCTGTTTCTTGGGCTTTATGCGCAGCTCCTCGAAAGCGCCCATCGACTTGCCCAGCGTCTCCGCAAAATCATTCAGAGCGGGCTCCAAGGACGCCCGGTCACCGTCGGCGACCACACCGGCCATCTCGATCTGCCAGGATGCTGGGAGTTGGGACAGGAAATACGGGGCTTGCGCTTAAGGGATGTTTGAGCTATGGGATATTGTCGTAGCAAAAGCTTGGACTCGCTTTGGGGTCTTTGAGCGTAGGACTCTGGGTGTGCAGAGGCTTTGGATATAAGAAGTGCTGCAAAAACTGGCCGGCCTCAGTCTGACTGCTTCGAACCTTGCCACGATCGTTCATCGTGTCTTTCAAGACTCTGTAGCGCTTAGCAGGCTCGAAGTTTGGAGCCTGGGGGTGAGGAATTCCCTCCTGTCCTGCAGCAGAACCAAGCCAAACACGCATAGGGATTTAGGCTTAGGTGTTTAGGGCCCAGCGACATCACAATACAAAGTCCACGACTCTATAAGGCAAAGCACCTGCTGTAATGATCTTGATGAACTCCTCACCATCCTCTCCCGGGAACTCTTTGCGGAGCTGCATCATCGTCACCTCGATCGTTGGACGAGGTATATATATATATATAAATGGTTTAGGAATAGGTTAATTAGGGGTTTAGGGTTTTGGGGTTAAGGGTTTAAGGTTTAGGGTTCGGGATTTGGGTTCGGGATTAGGGTGTAGGGTTTAAGGTTTGGGGTTTAGGGTAAGTGGTTAAATTGCTGCATTCCAGGATCCGTTCTGTAACGGTCTTTGTTTTCATCCAGAGACTCATCCTTGTACTTCTGCGAGGTCTGCACATCCAGCCCACCCTCGCGAAGGAGCTCCTCCTTCAAGAAGTTGAACCTCATAGCTGCAGTCAGGAGTCTTGGGGTTTGATTTGTTACGGGGTTGAAATCCGCATATTTCAAGGGTGGGTTTAATTGTATATATACATAGAATATAGATATATATATATATATATATATATATATATGTATGTATCATTCTGGTAGCTGCTCGCATAGCAGGATGTAATATTCGGTCTTTCAGATCTGGTGTTTTCAGTGCAGCATGCAATTCCCAAGGCTAGTTTCATACTATATATCGATCGAGCGGGATTCGAGGGTTCAAATTGGAGGGGGGGCTTCGACGGTAAGGGCTTCAGAGATCAATAAGTGTTGGGGGGTTAGTTTCGGGCCGGGGGTAGGTTTGGGTGTTTAGGATCGGGCATAGATACGATACACTATCGGGTGCATGATTTAATTAATAACGATCTATTTTCAGCTGTATTCTGGATCGGCTTTGGCTTTAACATCCATGCAGCTATGGGGTCGCTATGGGGCCTGTATGGTTTTGTACTGGGTGTCAATGCACTAGATCTTATGTGTCCCGTCTCACGGGCACATCGCATGGGTTCACGATGAGACAAGTCACTTGGCAGTTTCATCGGTCAGGAGCTTGAACTTAGCTGCCATCTCCGGGTTAACTCTGCACTGGCGGTTCAACCAGGAGAAGCCCCTCTTTCGCTCATCCCGGGGCATATCCTTAGCTAATGGCTGCATGCTATCAATGAAGATCTGCATGCATGCATATACCATACGACCCAAGGCTCCGAGGGCTTCTGCATCGCCTCAAGCTGCTGCTTCTGCTCTGGCGTCATGATTCGGAGCCGCTGGTTTTTGGGTCTTGACTGCACATCTCCCGGATCGGACTTTCCTGAGAGGGAGCACATGCATGCAATTAGGGGTTCATGTATATATATACATATATATATAGGGGGTTCATGTTCTACGGCTTATACATGTCCGGGCTTTCTCAACAAGACATGTTAATCGGAAACATCGGCTGCATTCAGCCAGCATGCTAGCATTATATTATATATATAGGGCAATCCCAGACTCCTTCCACGACATCCGCGCTCGCCTCCTGGGGCGTCTTGGCAGATCCTTCATCATCCTGCACCGAGCATGCATGACCGGTCTGATAAGATCGGCACTGCACCATAAACCCTAAAGTCCTAAACCCTAGAATCCTAAACCCGAAACCCGTACCCTGAAACCCTCAAACCCTAAAGCCCTAAAGCCTAAAACCCAAAACCTTAATCCTAACCCTCAAAGCCTAATACCCTGAAGCATCATGACCGGTCTGTTAAGATCGGGACTGCACCCTAAACCCTAAAGGCCTAATGCCTAGAATCCTAAACCCGAAGCCAGTACCCTGAAACCCTGAAACCCTAAAGCCCTAAACCCTAAAACCCAAAACCCTAAATCCTAACCCTCAAAGCCTAAAACCCTGAAGCCCCTGAACTAATCATAATGTTACCCTGCAACCTTTTATTGTATATCTCGCTCTCTCATCTCAAAGTACCTCTGGCATATTTCAGGGACCAGAGCCCCCAAGCTCCGACAAGCTTGAATTGGCAAGGTTTCGATATGAATGCCCCGGCACCCTCCAGGGTCTAAGCGCTCACCCCAAATCTCTTTCGACCTTCATAAGTTTTGATTCATTACACCTCCGACCTCATCACCTTAATTGAATCCCTGCACCCTAAAGCCCTCGATCGTTGCCTATACACAATAAGCATTGAGCCCCTGCATCCAAAACCCTTGAGTGCCTATGCCCTGGTACAGCCAAACTCCCAAGAAGCCCATGTAATACATAATAACCCAGCCTACATAAATCAAAGGCATGAAGTCGACCGGCCGAGCCAATGCACGATGTGGGACATGCGCCGATTGGAGGCGCTGAAATAGATACCGTAGAAATTCGATCGGGGTTTGGCCATATATGTATATATATATATATATATAGATAGATAGATCGATATAAGGATCGATAATATTAGGGTTCCTGAACTTAAAGGGAGATAAGGGTGGGGTTCCATAAAGGGTGTAGGGTTTAGGGTTTGGGAGTTTCGGAAAATATGGGGCACCTGATTTTGGGTTCTCTATAAGGATCCCACTATTTAGGGTACTATGGTCCCCTATTCTCGGAAATCCCCACATGGACTCGGAAGCCTGAGCCAGAACCCCAAACCCTAAACCCCATCATGGATCCCCGAATCCCTATTAATTTTAATTTAATATATCGATCGATATAGATCAACATATGTATATATATGATAGTCGTATAGTTCGCGAATACCACATGCCGCAAGAACGTCTCGTAGTTTCCAACAGATCACACCGCCGCACATGCATGCCAATGGCCAATGTGTTTCTGGAGCCATGATGAAAATAGTGTAATTTGCGACAGCACTGCCGGCATTCACGACTACTTCGATTCTGGGGTACACTTCTCGATTTGTGGATATTCATCTCACACACGTTAAGAATGGCTTCCAAGTGCTACTTCCTCGGGAACTACACACCAGCAGGATATCGGTTTCCACTAGGCCACTCCTAGGAAAAGACAGCATTATCCATGTACTAGTTTGTGTTGATCTAGACATCTTGGGGATGGCTTCTAAGTGTTATTTCTTCTAAAAGTATACAACAGCAGGATATGTATTTGCACTAGGCAATACCTAGGACCCAGACAGCATTGTCAATGTGCTAGTTTGTGGTGATCTACACATGTTCGGGATGGCTTCCAAGTGTTACTTCCTCACAAAGTAGACAACAGCAGGATATCAATCTTCGCTAGGCAATTCCTAGGACCCAGACAGCTAGTGTCAATGTGCTAGTTTGTGTTGATCTACACATGTTCGGGATGGCTTCCAAGTGTTACTTCCTCAGAAAGTAGACAACAGCAGGATATCAATTTTCGCTAGGCAATTCCTAGGACCCAGACAGCATTGTCAAGGTGCTAGTTTGTGTCGATCTACACATGTTCGGAATTGATTCCAAGTGTTACTTCCTCAGAAAGTATACAGCAGCACGACATCGGTTTTCACTAGGGAAGACCTATCTGATAGGACCCAGACAGCACCATACACACGGTGGGGATGGCATGGATCGAACAGTGTAGTTTCCTAGATATACATAGCCACAGGTTTTCGCTAGGCTTCAAGTATATATATATATATATATATATATATATATATATATATAAGGGCCGTGCCATAATTAGTGAGGATCTACATGCACCCGTTCGGCATGGCTTGGATCGGTGGTTCCTCATGCACGAGGCAGGAAATATACCGCAGTAGGATACCGATGCTGTTATGTGCGCATTGGTACACTTCTCGATTTGGCTCTGGGTTCAGGGTTTCGTCCTTCCAGCGGGATGTTTGCTTAGGAAGTGTGGTTTTGAAGGGAATGCTTAAGCGGGGTTATATTTAAGGATCGACATATATATCGACGGTCGATGATCAGAATAGCTCTTGCACATGCACACATTATTCGGGATGGCTTGGGTCGGGCTTGTAGTTACTGGGGAGTGTAACTTAAATTATGGATTAGGGTTCCCTGGTTCGAACTATACAGTGAGCATGAATATGAAACTTTACGTATGAATATGAAAATTGACGTATATGTCGGGATGGCTTGGATCGGTGCGGTAGCTATTGGATATGCAAAGCGAACGTAGGTTGATCCACGTTACAAGGATACCTATAGAATTGCAACATAACCTCGGCCACCGGCAGGCATGCATGCATGTATACCCAAGAAAACATTATAAACTACAATATATACATCATATCCATGCATGTATATATATATATATATATATATATATATTCATTGCGATCGATAGATGGATATGATGTGGACCCATTAAAGCCTCAACCTTATACACGCACGGGCCTTGCGGGGCGAAGACTTCTGGCGCACACGCCTCTCGATAGGCGTCGGATCAGCCTTGCGCTTCTGCTTTGGCTCCTCCGTGTCCTTTGGCTTTGGCTTCTCCGTGTCCTTGGGCTTTGGCTTCTCGTTCTTCGGCTTTGGATCCTCCGGGTCCTTAGGCTTTGGCTTCTCCGTGTCCTTCGGCTTTGGCTTCTCGTTCTTCGGCTTTGGATCCTCCGGGTCCTTAGGCTTTGGCTTCTCCGTGTCCTTCGGCTTTGGCTTCTCCGTGTCCTTGGGCTTTTGCTTCTCCGAGTCCTTGGGCTTTGGCTTCTCCGAGTCCTTGGGCTTTGGCTTCTCCGAGTCCTTCGGCTTTGGCTTCTCCGTGTCCTTGGGCTTTGGCTTCTCCGTGTCCTTCGGCTTTGACTTCTCCGAGTCCTTCGGCTTTGGCTTCTCCGTGTCCTTGGGCTTTGGCTTCTCCGTGTCCTTCGGCTTCGGCTTCTCCGAGTCCTTCGGCTTTGGCTTCTCCGTGTCCTTGGGCTTTGGCTTCTCCGTGTCCTTCGGCTTTGGCTTCTCGTCCTTGGGCTCTGGCTTCTCCGAGTCCTTGAGCTTTGGCTTCTCCGTGTCCTTCGGCTTTGGCTTCTCCGCGTCCTTCGGCTTTGGCTTCTCGTCCTTGGGCTCTGGCTTCTCCGAGTTTTTGGGCTTTGGCTCCCCTTTGTCCTTCGGCTTGGGTGTCCCGTTGTCCTTCGGCTTGGGTGTCCCGTTGTCCTTGGGCTTGGCTGTCCCGTTGTCCTTCGGCTTGGCTGTCCCGTTCCTTCGGCCTTGGTGTCCCGTTGTCCTTCGGCTTTGGCTTCTCGTCCGTGGGCTTTGGCTTCTCGTCCTTGGGCTTTGGCTTCTCCACCCCTTTGTCCTTCGGCTTTAGCCGTCGTCCTTCGGCTTGGGTGTCCCCTTGTCCTGTGGCTTGGGTACCCCGTTGTCCTTCGGCTTGGGAACCCCGTTGTCTTTCGGCTTGGGTGTCACGTTGTCCTTGGGCTTCTGTGTCACGTTGTCCTTCGGCTCTGAGTCTGGCGTCCCTTTGTCCTTCGGCTTTGGTGTCCCGTCACTCTTCGGCTTGGGTGCTTCCTTCTTTGGCTTGGGCTCCTCAG